CTTTTTACTTCTTTTAAGGGTAAATTGGGCATTTTAGTAAATTTTTGCATGACATCAGCAAAAAAGGTCTTTGACCTTGTTTGGCCTTTACGTGAGGGGAGAAATTGATGCGAATTAGAAAAGTAAGGGTCTGAGTAGTGAGTATGCTTGAAGTATTGACAAACCGTAGGGGGTCTAAATGATATATATATATATATATATAATTTTGGAAGGAAAAGAAATGTAATGGAAGGTTTTGGACGGATATATTAAAACTAGGTGGATTGATTTTGTTATTTTTTCAAAAGTGGGAAATTGAAAGGAAAGAAAGAAAATACTAAAATTTTTAATAAAACTTTATTAATATTGTAGACATTAAAAATAATGGACTATCGGTGTTGACAAATTGACCCATCAATTATGGGTTTAATGTTTAATTAAGTTATTTAATTGGCCCAAACTTGGTCCATTTAAATTATTTAATTAGTCCAGCCCAAATAATTAAATGAAAAAATAATTATTCCTAATAAAATATATCTGAAATAATTATTTTTAAAGATAATTATCATAATATAGCTGGCTCGGTTCAGTTATGATTTTATCCTTGACATATGTCATCATCCTATTAATCCAAGAAGCCTACAAATAGAGGCCTTCAGAATTCAGAAATCTAGAATTCCAGAAAGAAATACAGAAACTCTGCTCCAAGCACATTGTAAAGACGAAGAAACTTTATTAATACCAAATTTGTCTTTATTTTTATAATAGACAAAATATATTAAATTGGGTATGGTGGTAAATTTATTAAATAATTTTATTTTCTTTCTTTCTCCAAATATGATTATTGTCATTTCATTTATTAGTCAATTAAACACAATAAGAGCTCGTTTAGATTGTTTTTCAATAGCTTAAAAATGCATTTATTTTAAAAAATTGCGTTTAGGTGTGTTTCGTAACTATTAAAACTACCAATTTTAGCTCAGTACTTTTGAATCAAGCTAAAATTTGGAGTTTTTGAAATTGGGTTGGAGTAGATGTTATATATTTTAGGTAATTATTTTTTCTTAACAATTATGCCATTTTTTCTTTTTATAAAGATAATTTGACCATTTCTTTTATTAAGTTACTATTATTAAATATAGTAATATTAGTACCAAACAAATTAAAAAATAATTAAATTGTTAAAAGTACTTTATAGAGTGCCACCAAACACCTTTTTATCACTAAACGCACTTTTTTAACAGCTCTATGAACAAAAACATTTTATTTATTTATTTTTTATTATTATTTTTTTCAACAATGTAAATGAGTTCCAAGTGTTTAACACTATCCTCCCATTTAAATTTTTTTTTTTTTTTTCTCACTCACAATTAACGTTATCATTTATTTTCTTTTCATTGTACTAAATATAGTCTTAGTGTAAAGTAAGAAAATCAGTTTATCATGGTCGTAGATTTTTTTTAACCTCGCAAGTAAAATTCAAAATGCAATGATACATCATTTTTTATAGGGTCAAATGCAGAAAACACCTTATAGTATGTTTACAGTACGCATCACACCCCTCGTATGCAAAAAACACCCATAAAGTTTTAATTTGGTGCAAATTTATCCCTCCTGATACATTTAAGTTATATTTTGACTAAATTGCCCTTATATACACATTTTAGATATTATTTAAAAATGCATCATTTTATAAAATGACGACAATGGTCATTTAGTACATGAGGGTGTGATACACACTATAATCATATTACATGGTGTTTTTTTTGCACTTTATAAACTATTGTTGTTTTCAATATTTTGATCATTTAGATTAGATTTAATTGAGAATATAGTTTTATTGTGATTTGAATAGTATGATGACGGTATGTGATTGGATACTCATTTGTTTGTTTGTTTTTTTAATTTTTTCAATAAATATTGATTACCCATTTGTTGTTATGTAAAAATTATATATATATATATATATATATATATATATATATATATTTGTAAAAATTTATTGCAAATTGTAAAGTTTTAAAAAATAAATGTATATTGTTTATATGCAATGAATAAGTATCTTTAATTTAATTTTGTAATTATATGTTTATTGATAACTACAATAAAATTTAATTGGGAATAATTTTTTCTTTTTATATATAATTATAAAAGGCACTGAAGTTTTCATTTCATATGATATATTGTACATTAATATGACAATTGTGACAACAAATATATTTTTTTTAAAGAGAGATAATACATTGTTAGCGGAAATATATTGAGAAAATTTTTTTTTTCCCGAAAAGATGAGAGAAAATCTTTAAAAGTGGGTTAAATATAGTTAATATGCATATAACAATACCAACAAGCCAGTGGCCTAGTGGTATTATTAAAGATGTTTTCTCCACTTGACCATTTTTTATAGTAATTTTTAATAATCTTTTGAAGGTTATTTAACATAATTAGTGATTTATTTGTGTATTTTTTTAAAGTCAATGTCATTATTAAAAACTTATTATTATTTTTACTAAATTAATGAGAAATTATAGATTTAAACATGAAACCACATCTCAAAATTTTAAAATTAAGAAATAAAAATAAATCTAAAAATTAAAATACGTTAGAAAAATATATGGTTTTGTTTACATATAAAACAAATATGTCTGGATGTGTGATTTTATAATTGAAATTCATTATGTTTGCTTAAATTAGTGACTAATTGAAGTCTCTTGTATTGATCATAATAGGTTTGTCTTTAAAATTCAAAATTATAAAATGGCATGCTCAACGTTGAAAAGTTTTCAACCCTAAGGATATTTCTAAATCACTTTAATTTATAACTTCTTATTGATCCTTTCTCCTGCCTTCATTTTATAATAATTATTTTTTTAAAAAGAACAAAAAGAAAAAAAAGATACATTCACTTTTTGAGACCTTTTCTTAATTATTTTATTTTTCATTATTATTTTAAAACTAACTTACTTTAATAGAGATGAAACTTGGGTGGTCTAACCCGAGTGTCGCTCACAAATTGTTCGTGTGGGGACAAGGTACCTGACCCGAGCAATTCGAAAAACTCGTGAAATTCAAGTGGCATGATATGGATTGAGATGTAAATAACTATTTTGAGACTTGTGCTGTTAGAACATGGCCCTTAGCCCGCCCAACGAACCCAAATCCCACCCTATTTACAAGGTCAACGAAGGCAGGTAATGGATTAGCATCGTCATTGGGTTTTCGTATGGGCCGTATGAAAATTTTTTTTTGACCCGCCTAAAATTTACTATAGAAATAAATTAATTTTTTGGGGTCAAAGCCCACCCCTGGATCCACCGCCCATCATTTTTTTTTTTTTTTTCTTTTTTTTTTTTGTGAGTTTACAACAAATCAAAATGACAATCATGAACCAGATCAGTAATATTCCATAAAATTTGTATCAAAACAGTATTACGAGAAATATGACCCTGCAATACATTTTTTTTCCTCGTTAAATGTCTCTCCTTGTTTTAGTTTTTGGGAATTCAAAACAAAATTAACAAATGATCAGCTTTGATCATTATAGCAACGGATAAATCTCTATCAAAACAGATAAAGAGATGAATGATCAGAGACACAATATGATATATACACACACAGTGCCGTAGCCGGGACAAGTGGGGGTAACCGAATTTTTAATTTTTTAAAATTAAATATAAAAAGATTTTTATATTTGTATTGTTGCTCCCTCTAAAATTTGACAATGCACACATAATATATTATATATATATATAACCAAAAACTCATTCACGGGAGGAACCATGCTTTTTGACTTTATCATAAACAAATAGATTATTTTAATCACATTTTCATCTTTAACATTTTTTACAATCCAAACAAAGTAAGAGGAATAACCATTTAACAATAGATAGAGTCTCTGCAGTGTGGCAGACAGGTAATTTGATATATATATTTTTATCATTTAAATTTATTATTATTTGATATTATAATTTTAATTAAAAAAATCATTAGTTATTACTATCAAAATTATTTTAGGGCTTGTTGTTCTTTTAAATTTTAGTTTGTGTTTTTATTTTTTTTCCCACATATGTGATATATTAGAACATATAGGTAACTATATTATTTTATTTTTCATATCTTATTCTTGATTCATTGAATATGATTTTTTTTATAATTACATTTAATTGAATGAACTCAATTTTGAAACAACAATAAATAATTTAAAAAATCGTTGTGAATATACTGAATAGAAATATTATGAATTAATGTTTTAATTTTTACATGTATTGTTTTGGTTCAAATTATATATATATACACACACACATTATTGTTATTAAAAATTGCCACTACAGAAGACAATTTTTGACTACGCCACTTTATACACACATACATATAATGAGTCTGATATATATAACATAAATGATTTGATATATATGTGTATATATATCTATCTATCAAGAGTCGAGGCACAATTGGATGTTTATCGTGATTGAAATTTTAATCACCAATAAATATACATACAGATAAAATCCTAGTAGGTTGATCGAAATTGACCCTTATTTTTTAAAAAATAGACGCTTAAATTTTCAAATAGTTAACGTTAAATCTTAAGATGGGTTTCTTTATATTTTACACATACTTATACAAAGGTTCCTTAGAAGGGTCAATTTTTTTTGTCAGGCTAAATAGCATAACTCTTTAACATTGTTATGTAAGTGAGTTGGATGACATGATTAAGAACATGAAACTCATTTATTATTGTTATGGTATTTGTCTAAAGTTGAATTATAGTAACCATTCAAAATAATTTAGTGATATCTATTTTACCTTTAATGTAAAAGGTGAGGATTTTAATTTTGCCGGAACAATTAGGCGTGCAAGTTTGTTAAAGCTTGTTGTTAAGGTTGAGATTAGGGGTACAATTTGGTCATTTTCTTAATTTTTTTATTTTAAAAAATCTTAATTTGATCCAACGCAAACTTTGAATAGGTTTGGGTATTTTTCAATTTAGGTTTTAATCTATTTTTTTAATCTGACCTCCATTTGGTTAGACTTACATACAGTCTCAGTTCTCAGTTGAATATTTGTCTCACTCTCACCTGATCAATCAAAGCCTAACTTGAATATTGTAAAACAAGTTTAAGGTTAAGCCCATTGGATGGCTTGATTGGATTGAGATTAAATAAAAAAACAAGGAAAAAAAAAAAAAATTGGATCATGGTTGCTTATAAAAATAAAAGGAAGGTTTTACAAATAGGTTCTGATGGTTTTTATGCTCTGAACTTCTAAACAAATGACCTCTTGAGAATTCGATTCATGTAATTGTTCAATTCGATACAGATCGACGATGGCTTGGAGGCAAATGATGTTCTTCCATGGAAGAGCACTGTCTTCACTTTTGAATTCGGTTGCTGGGTTCGCAAATTATTCATCGAAATCCACCCCATACTTGGGTATAATTTGTCTTAGGGTTTATGTATATCACATTTGCATAAGTTGGTTCGATTTTTGTGGCTTTGATGAAAACTTGAATGTGGGTCTGTTTTGTATTGTTGCAGTGAAGGTTGGAATACCAGAGTTTCTGAACGGAGTGGGCAAAGCCGTTGAGACCCATGTAGAAAAGCTTGAAAATGGGATTGGTGACTTCCAGAAGCTGCTCGTCACACGAAGTCGCAAGCTCAAGAGACTTGGCATCATCTCCTGCAAACATGTAGCAATCGTTTTCCTATCTTCTGATTCATCAATGATTTTTCAATTTTTCAATATATCTTTTAATGGGTTTTGACTATTTTTTATCAATTATGTGCTAGTTATAGTTTCGTGAAATTCTGGTTTCTGGGTAAATATTATCATGTTTGTTATATGGAGCAGTGTGCACATTTAAAAATGTGTGTATTTATGATTAATTTGTTACTACATGTGTGTGTTGGTTTAAATCCATAATCAACTGGTAGAAATCTAGAATAATGCAATAATTAAAGAGGGAATTTTAACAATGGTACCTCATTGATGATTAAACTTTATAATACCTTTGGGTTTTTTGTAGGACATCCTGAGAGAGCACTACCCCATTTTAAGACTTGTTCCTATGATGGGGCTGAAGAGGGTTTTTAAACCCTTATATATTACCAACACTAGTGGAGTCGGCTTGCCTACAAAAAAAAGGGTTTTGAAACCCTTATATATTACCAACAACAGGGGAGTCGGCTTGTCTAAAAAACAAATTTAGATCTCCATTCCCATAATGGAAACATAGATACTAATGGTTAGGATTAAATCCCGCCAAATAAAGTTGTAAAACCACGATCAAACGGTAATTAGACCACAAAATTGACAAGTACAACCTCAATCCATTAAATATGGATAATCACATTGCAATCCAATTTTAGACATAGGACCACAAAATGATTTTTTTTTTTTTTTTTTTAAAACCCAACGCTGTGTGGTGTTGCTTTGAACTCTATGATCTTCTCTGTATGTTACCATACTTCTTTTGGAGCTGGATATTTTGGTTGGTCTAGTGTGGTAGACTTTTTTATGGTCTTCATTTGCTGATTTTCTTCATTGATACTTCTCTGCAGTTAACTAGGATAAGTGATTAGTCAATTTTTGTGCAGGTGGTAGTCCGAGTTGAAATGAGGTCTATACCTTTAAAATGGATTTAGGACACCCTTAGGAGACTGGTTCTATTTGGATTTCTATGAGCATAAGCCAGAAACTTACTTACGTAACTTGGTAGGGGAAAGGATATGTGATCTTTCATCTTTTATTTGTTAGTAATGGTGGAAATATTTAAAGTTACTTCTGGCAAGAATATTCTTATTTTCTAGGAGCAAAATGTGAATTTGTGGAGTAGAATTTGTTTTAATCCATGCTGAATCATTGTCAAATTATCAGCATGTGAGTTTGGTTATTTTTTTCCTGTTATTTGTGAAATGGTTGATTGCTTTTATCATTTGGGTGACTTTATTTTAGATAACTCAAAGATGCAAGATGCTCACAATTTAGAGCAAAATCTGACAGTATGTTAGATTCTCGCAATATACGCAAAATGCAAGATGGCGTGAAAGATGATTAATGTGCAAAATAATCTCATTTCCTCCATGATCTGGATCTTGCAACTGCAGCATCAAAATTTCTGTTGGGTATGGGATCCTTCCATGGATAGCCTACATTTGTTCAGGCTACAATGGCCCGGTAACATGTAGCTTTTCTACTGGTATTGTAGTTCCATTCTTGCAGTCTAACTTTTAGATCATCCCTGTTAGGTGTTTTTTTTTTTTTTTGGGGTGCTTTCATTTTTCTTAAGGAAGCCATTATTTAAATTCAGCATATGGCTTCAGAGTATGCTTATGCTAAAGATCTGTATAGTTGCATATGCGTTACCCTGGGCTGATGGTAAAACTCTCAAATTTACTTTGTTATATTGCGATCGTGTTATCCTTCTTTGAGGCTTGCACGCCAACCCATTCAAGGTACCAGTAGGTATGAGCTTTTGGTTGTTGGAGAAATTGTCTCACTGGTCAAACATTGCTGGACAGCTTTATAGTTATAGTAAAGATGGATCTTAATTGCCCAAGGCCCAGTATAGATCTTCTCTTGGCTTCATGTCTACTGAAATCTTTATGCTGATGGTTCTTTTGTAGTTTTCTAAAAAAAAATTCTATAACCAGAAAATTATATGCAGGATGACATGGAAAATTTGTTGCTTATCATTTTAAAACAGAGGACCATCTGTGTCAATTATAGTTTCAAAGATGCCATTGCAAATCATTGTAGATGCGATCATTTTGTTTGTATTATATCATTTTATTATGTGCGCAATTAGGCATTCAAGACATTTTTTGGGTTTGAATTGTTCTGTCTCCAATCCATTTATGCTTCTTTCTATTTCGGTTGTCCGATTCTTGAGGACTCATGGTGTTGGTATAGTAGTTTGATTGCCTTTTGAATATAGGTTATAATCAAAGAGAAAAATCCTAATATCTGTCTCAGGAGTTGTTGGTGTTTTTATTCTAGATATCAATTACTCTGTTATTTGTTTAGTCCATCTACCCCAGCTGTAAACTAGATCAGAAATGTGCTACCTGGCCGTAGGTGAGTTGGCCTAGGTGGTGTCTTAAGAGCCAGTTGTCTCAATTTTTGAGTATTCTTGGTCCTAGCCAATGCATGTGGTTTGTGGATGATGCATCTGAAGGATTAGGCTCGACTCAAGAATCATTTGGGGACACCAAAAAGATTTTTTTTATAGAAAAGGTCATTTCTTGGTTAAGGGCTTAAACAACGTCCCAAAGAATCTCGTAGTCTTAAGGGGTTAAAGACCATCCTGAAGAAGTTCATAGTCTTAGTTTGGCTTTAGCCAAATAAGACCCCCCCCTCTTCTCTGTACTTAACTATTGTGAAAACAACACTGAAACATTGAAAGAATGAGAAGGGTTTAGCTATTGTCATATAAACAAGTGGCTCACTATGATCCCTCGAATCCAAAAACTGCTTGATGCTGATTCAAGATACCAAGCTACCGATTGACTTATGAATTATGATCAACAGCTTTAATGGGTGATTTGGGACATGTTATTTTGAAGATTAAAACAGTTGGGCAGGAGAACCTCAAATATGGTTTGTACATCTTGCCCATCTAAGTCTTAGACTACGTCATTTTCTTGGAGGTCAATTGGATTTATGGCTAAAGTTAAATATGTAAATGACATCAAACAATTTTTGTAACTGTTCAAGGCATACAAAGTATTTGCAACCATTTTTGTAGAAAAATGCTCAAATGTTAGGCCTTTGTCTAGTGTACCCTTTCCAACACTCTCAATTAATGTGGATGACATTGTGTAATAACCCTACGGCCATTTTTTCCCTCATTATTCCATTTTATGAGAGGCAAAAATGGAAGTTGACCTTGCTTCTAAACTGATGAAAGGGCAATCACAGTTCATAGTGGCCTTTGTCTTACGACTTTTCATGAGGGATATTGTGCAATACTTGCATTTCTGGTACTCTGCCTTTTAAACTAATTTTTGGAAACATCCATATCAATGTCCTTATTACTCAAAGACAGCATGCGTGTTTCTGAACAAGATTCCTTTAATTCATTTTATTTTTTTATATCTATCTTTTAATTTTTAATTTCTGTTCTCGTTTTTCGTTGTGCCTGCTTTAGAATTAGAAGATATGTTGGGGGACATATTTATGGCTACTTTTGATTTGAATTTGCTCATGAGCGCTAAGGCAGGGATTTTCGTTAGAATCCTATTTTTGGATAGATTAAACTTTTAAAGTCTTTTTGGTTGAATGTTGGCATTATTACACAACGCATACATTTTCATTCTTAAAAATGCATTACAACATCTAATTTTGCTGCTGCAGAGGAAGCTGATACTGAAATTCACTCACAAATATAGGCTGGGACTTTGGAGGCCTCTAGCTGAGCCTGTGAAATCTTAGAATCTCTTCAAATGGCTAGTCCTCTTCTCTTAGAACACCGAGATGTCATGAGATTGACTTCTGCAAAATGTGACTTGTGAACGTCAGTCCCATTTGGATGGTTTGGTGAATTATGTTGAAATACTGATGCATGATCCCCTAGATTTAGTTATGCGGATTTTTTCTTTATTTCAGATCAAGTGTCCTCGCTGTTGTTTTTCCGGTGTATCATTTATGATTTATTCTAGCAAAAGTGGACTTGGTGGGTTGGGGGTTGTTTAACCAGTTGGCAAGTTCTAGTCAGTTACTCCTTTTGTCTGTCATTGCTATGGTGAAGTTCTCAAATAATCCAACACTCTTATAATCATTTTTACACCAAATATCCACATTTCAGGTACTTCCAGTTTATGTGTGAATATTTGCAAGAATTATTTAATCAGGATATAATCTTTTATCGGATGAATATACTGGGGATATTACCCTTTCTTTCTTTGTTCAGTTTAAATAGAATCTTTTGCATTCATAGCTTCCGTGGTTCTCGTAGCATCTTGCTTAATACTTAGGTCTGAAGTTCTTGACTTCACTAATTCTCAATTTGGTGGATTTTAATTGTTAACTACCTTTTACTCTTTATGTCTTAGGTCTGATACCATATGAACTATCAACTACTCTAAAAGCTTAAGTGGTGTTGTGTAAATTTATGCATGGTCAATTTTTTTGAGACTTGAACACTCAACCTCTCCAAATTGAGAAGGAGAGCTTATACCATCTGTTCATTGGTAATGCATGTTTGAGATTGAAAATATAGGAACATTTTAAATATTTGAATTTATGGAAGATGGGCCAGCACAAAAATCTATTCCAAGCTGTTCCGACTTCCTAGTTATATCTGGACTAAACTTGACTATTCATATTTTTAGATCTGGAGACGTGTTATGTTTATTAATGTGTAAGGCTGTATATATATATATATATACCATCTGTGTGGTGAAAGGTTTCTATGTTAGAGATTAAAATCAGAAACTAAGGATGGTTGTTCCCACTTGGCTTTCATCAAGAATGGGTGTGTATAAGATTGAAATGAATGGTGTCACTGTTTATGCAAGAGTTTTGAATCGTGCAGATCTGGTTAACTCATGGATCGCAAAGTTTAAGTCTCAGCTTACGAGGCAGCTCGTAGGAATCGACATTAAGTTCAAAAAATGGAACCCTTGGCCAGTGATATTGCTACTCTATGCGGGAAGCAACTGTTTGATCATTCAAATGAGATATTTGGATTCAAAACCGGAGTTGAATACATCTGTTTTGTGGGTGTTGGAATGAATCAGATAGTTTCTCATATAAAGAATTGGTATAGTACTTGCTACTTTTTCCCTGAGAAATCACTAGAATTCAAAACAGGGGTTGGGTTGCCTGAACTGGTTGCTAGGGTTCGTACGAAGCCAGACCTTGCCGGGCGTGGGCTGGCAGAGTTGGGGAGTGAGGTTGGGGTTGATATCGGTGAATCCATCAGTGGAAGTTCGAATTCTACTAACTGCAACTGGGGAGCTAGGGTTTTCTCACATGAAGAGGTCAAGTATGCAATCACTGATGTTTATGCTTCTTATCAGATTGGAAACAAAATTGTGGAGCTCCCAAACATCGATGTTTATGCTGCTTATCAATGTGAGTGGTAAGTTTCTTGCCAAGACCAAAAAAGAAAAAGAAAAAGGTAAGTAGTGCTTTGTTACTTTCCCGATAAGGCCATGCATTGTGATTACTACACAATTTTATTTTATTTTATTTTTTTTGTGCTCTTAATATCACCTTTAATCTTATCTTCTCACTATTAATCATGATTAGGCAAAGAAAAAAATTGCCAACAAATTCTTTCTCTTAGTTATAATAATGTTAATTGCTTCATTTTAGTAACGAGTTTCATTTATCATTGAACGTTTGTCACAAAAGGTCCATCCTGTCCTGTCGCAGTGATATTTACTAAATGATTAATTATATTAATGACAATATGATAGTGTCATTCCCCATCATCACACAATCACTAATTATGATTAAGCGAAGAAAAAATTGCCTATAAATTTTCTCCCTTTGTTGTAATGTTCATCGCCTCATTTTAGTAACCAGTCCCATTTATCATTGAACATTTGTCACAAAATGTCCATCCTGCGCCTGGGATATTTACTAAATGACTAATTATATAAATGACAATATGATAGTGTCATTTCCGAGTCATCACACAATCACTAATCATGACTAAGCAAAGAATAAATTGCCTATTTACTAAATGACTAATTATATAAATGACAATATGATAGTGTCATTTCCCAGTCATCACAAAATCACTAATCATGATTAAGCAAAGAATAAATTGCCTACAAATTCTCTCCCTTAGTTGTAATGTTCATTCCCTCATTTTAGCAACGAGTTTCATTTATTTCTGAATGTTGTTTGTCCAAAAAGGTCCATCCTGTCTTACTAAATGATTAATTATATAAATGATAATATGATAGTGTCATTTCCCAGTCATCACACAATCACTAATCAGTAATCATAATTAAGCAAAGAAAAAATTGCCTACAAATTCTCTCCCTTAGTTGTAATGTTCATTGCCTTATTTTAGCAACGAGTATCATTTATCATTAAACGTTTGTCACAAAAGGTTCATTCTGTCGCAGTGATATTTACTAAATGATTAACTTTATAAATGACAATATGATATTGTCATTTCCCAGTTATCACACAATCACTAATCACGATTAAGCAAGGAAAAAATTGCCTATAACTTCTCTCCCTTGGTTATAATGTTCATTGCCTCATTTTAACAACGATTTATCATTGAACGTTTGTCACAAAAGGTCTGGCAGTGATATTTACTAAATGACTAATTATGTTAATGACAATATGATACTGTCATTTCTCGGTCATCACACAATCACTAATCATGATTAAGCGAAAAATAAATTGCCTATAAATTTTCTCCCTTGGTTGTAATATTCAAGTGAAAGAAATTGTACCGTCATTTCCACAATCACTTACATAATTCGAGAGAAAGAAATTGCACTTGTATTATGAAATTTTCCAGAGTATCCAAACTCTTAAAAAAAACAAAAATATTTTCAAAATAAGAAAAAGAGAGAGTAATTAATTCATTCTCTATCCCAAATGATTGCCGTCCAGATCGTCTGGTTGATAAAAATTGTCAGCATTGAACTGTTGTGAAGAAATATATATAATAGTAGCTAGTATGCTTTTTCATATATATATATATATATATATATATATATATCAGTCCATGGCAACTACTGCTTAATAACAAGCTATGAAACTGTTTTGATGCTGATTTGTGTGTCTTCTATTATTAATCTCATGATATGTACTAGCGAGTGTGTGGTAGTTAGGCCTATGCTGTGTGTGTGTGTGTGTAAACCATGTGTAAACATATACTATATTATTATATAACAGAAAGTTGAGTTATGTTTAAATTTTTCATCCAAACTTTTATTTGTAAAAATCAGATTGAGTTCATGTTGGTTTGGGACGACTCATCCAAGTCGCAACACTAAATGACGAGTATATTTTTGTTGCAATCATATTGAAACTAAAGCAAACCATTATTAGAGCTTAATTTGTTTATATTTCTGCATGTGAAATTAAGTTTT